TCTTCCCATGTTTTCTTCCATCTTCTACTTCTATAGCTTTTCTTCTTCCTTCCTAATTACAACCCTTAAGTAGAATTCGTGCCTCATATCGAAATTACCGAGTATCATAATTCTTCCAACTGGTAAAGATACCTCAAGACAAATGCTGGGCATAGAAGCCACAGGGCATAAATCTGCAAAAAGGTAAAAAGCTAACCTTTTCAAAGAATATTGCTTCTCTCTCACTTACCAACTCACATTTCCCTGTATGGCCCTGGAACATGACTGGTTAGCCAGAGATGGGTAAGATTCCTCAAGGGAGGAACAACCTAAGACAGGCACAGCCGCAGGGGGGCCATCAGGTGAGAAATTGGGGATCAACAGAGGTGAGGCTTAGAACCTCACCCCCCCTGTTTTGAGAGAAATCTTCTGCATCTGTGGATGTTTTGTAGCTTGGATTAATACTTAGTCTATAGGCACAGACCTGATCATCTACATTTGCCCTCTTACAGCACTAAATTATGTTTTCTACCTTTATCTTGCATCTACCTACCACCTCAGCATTTTATTTAAAAAAATAATAGTAATAATAAGGGAGAAATGTGGGATTCACATATAAATTAAGTATAAAAATCAAACAAATAATCATATCTGACTTGATTGTTTATAGTTCATGATGTGTGATCAAAACCGAAAGTTTCTGTGATATGACTGCCCTTGCACTGTTCACCATGTAAGAACTTATTCACTACGTAAGAACTTGTTCAGCATGTAAGAACTTGTTTGTTATGCTTCAGAAGATTGGAGACTGTTGAAAATTAGGCTTGGGGTTGATTAATGATTGTGCATTGAGTCCTCTATACAGAATTTTATTGTTGTTAACAACCATTTGATCAATAAATAATAGAGATGCCCTCTCAAAAAAAAAAGAATAAATATTACCATTATTATTAAAAAGACAAGAGTTAAAATTAAAAAAAAATAGGGGGTGGAAAGAAAAAAATATACATGAATATGCTTATATAAATTTATAATATATTTGGAAGGTTAGAGAAGAAACTGGTAACATGGGTTGACTACAGGAAAGGAAATGGGTAGCCAGAAACAGGGATAAGAAGGAGACTTTTCAGTATATGCTTTTTTATGCCTTTTGAATTTTGAACTATGTGAACAAATTATCTATTCTTAAAATTAAAACTTAAAAAAAAAGAAAATCCCCAGTACAAATCCATTCTCATCTACTCCTATTAACTGGGACTTTATTTGGGGTCTTAAAAAAAAGGCAGTAGGCCACGGCTGGGTGGAGGAGAAAAGGAAGGACTCTGCCAAAGAGAGCAACATTATCCAGAAAGACCTTTGATAATAATAGAGAGAGAGAATGATAAAGCAAGTGAGGTGAGTTGTTAATAACTGGTGAATCTGGGCAAAGAATATACAGAAGTAGTTTGTACTACCCATGCAACTCTTCTGTAAGTCGAAATTATTTCAAAATACAAGCTTTAAAAATCAGTCTAAAATAATGTTAAAAAGGGGTGGGGGAGCTTGCAGAAATTATGCATGACACATTTGTACACTAATAGGGAAATTATTTAACTAGGTTAGAGACTGCATGTTGAGGAACAGAAATAAGTAAGACTGGATTGGTAAAATGGGCCCCAAGGATATAGGGAGTTGAAAGTCACCCTCAGGGATTTAGATTTAATACAGAAAGGTAATGTGAACTGCTGAAGGTTTGAGACCATAAACATAACAGAGTGGAAGATATTTATCGTAAGGCTTGAACACCTGGGAAATCTCAGTTCAGATTTCTAAATTTTGTTACTTTTCTTCTTTTCAGATACCTCAAAAGGGAGCTGATACAAGCCTAACAACACAGAAGGAAATAAAGTGCCTGTGATTAAAGTGCTTTAAACTGATTAGCCCCTTGGACCATTTCTCCAGGGACTCAAAGGCAGAGCTTAGTCTTCTGAACCAGTGTTAGAAATTAGTTAGTTTAGCCCCATACAGTCTGATCCTCTACTTGAAAGACCGATAAGATCATCTTGAATATCAGTCTCAAGTTTTAATTCCTGAAAGGTACTGCAGGTAATATATGAAATATTCAGGGTTTAGTGCTAGAGAGAAAACATTTTCATCACTAGGGTTTGTAGAGATTTGATGCTTGTACAGGACAGAATGTTTACTTCACCTGGACACATTTTTAAAGAGCTATACAATCTAACTGTGGTGTGAGCTAATTTCTAGGATTTGCAGTTAGAGTCCCAAAATAATTGGCATGAACTCCTATAATCCTCCTCTCCTCTGTCCCCATGGTCAGTGAATAAACAGGTAGCCTTCACAAGCTGCCAGCAACAGAGAGAAGAATAAATGGCTCTTTGAACTTCAGACCTGTACTCAGGACCACTGGTTAGCATACATAGCCTATGAGAAACCAAGCCTACCTTTCTAAGGAGTGGAGGAAGTTAGAGATGCTATTCCGCAGGCTCACATCTGCCACATGAAGAGCCCCACACACAACTCCCAACATGGTGTCAGGTCTCTCTGCCTGAAGGTAAGAAAAAGAGGGCATATGAAAAGCATGGTTACTTGGCACCATGGCTACTCAATTTAAATCAGGTTCAAATTTGCTGTGAAGAAACAGCTAGCATTGAGAATTTCCATCCTTACTGCCCAACTGATATCTGAGATAAAAACACATTTACTTTTAGAATTTGAACAGAGGCTTCATTTGAATAGAGATGAAAACACCTTTCCTTCTGCTTTCCCTAAGATTTCTACTGAGCCAATCAAAGACCAGCTCAAAAATAAGCTTTTGTCACAAATAAAATTAAAAATTTACAAAGACTTGGCTGACAGTCTTAACGAAAAATGGCATATAACCAAAATTTGGACCTTCAGATAACGATTTTATACAAAATGTTGGATAGTTTACAATAGCCCAGCAATTCAGGAATAAATCTGTTGATTTAAATAAAGCCCCTCTCAACAGCACTTGGTAGATGTACAAGTTGATAACCCTAAACCAGACTTAACATTAAATGAGGAAAGAGAAAATATTCCAATCCCTGCATGTCTCTCTTCAAATATACCCTAGGAAGTATCACTAGAACATTTAAAATGACTGTGTAACACAGGCACAAAAACTCTTACAGTATTAAAATTACACTGACTCCTAGATTTCTCCAAGTATATCAAGAACCACTTACATTAGAATCAAATAAATTTTATCTGGTGATATGGACTCAGCACACCCAAACCTATTAAAAACAAAATCCCAGAAGCTATTTGCACAAGTGAGAAAATACACACCTGTACTTTTTCTGATATCAGTCTGTCCAGCCAGCCAGTATCAATTCTATTCAACTGAAAGCTCTCAGTCTCCAACAATTTGATCAGGTATTCAACTGTAGTTCGAAAGTCTCCCCGAATAGATAGCTCCTTCAAAGCCACCACCATATTTCTGGCAGAAGAACAGAAGCAGATCTGTTTCAGCAACAAATGTTTTAGTGTTTTTCAATCATTGTAAAGAATCATTTCATTCCTTTGGAGTTTTAGGAGGGCGGAGGGGCAGACACTTCCAAGAACAGATGAGGGTACATATAAAAATGTGCTTATTCACCCGTGTTCCAGATAGAAGAATTTGTAAGAAGTCAGTAAACTTAGGAGTTCTGCCTGATTAACTACCATAGAGCATCAGCAAACCACATACATTTCATTATATAGTGTACAGAACAAATTATGTATAAACTAGCCTCAGTCTTCATTTACTGGGTGTCCATTCATTGCTGGCTAAATAGAAATAGGGTATCATTACCTCCTTATACCTTATTTATTTTATTAAGGTATAATTTACATGTAATAAAATACATTTATTTTAAGTATACTATTTAAGGAATTTTGACAAATAAAACAACTTAATTAAAAGGTCTTTATGCAATGGGGCGACTGGCTAGATATAGTCAGGCATCAGCCTGACACTGCATGTGAGAATGTATTTGTTTTTCCAAGCTGTACTTTAGATATCTGAAATGACAGCCCATAACTTTTATCACTTCCCAATTAAGTATAAAATGATCTAATTTTAACAAAATTTCAAATACTATGGGTTTTTTGCTTGTATATTTCTATCTAGTGTCTATCCCACACAGCTCAGGACCTTTGACAAACATTTATTATGTACCTTACAGACTCAAAACACATACTAGGTTCATAAGGGAGAGAGAATATAATACAATCATCGTTTTCAAAACACATGGCAGAGAGTATCATAAATGCCAGTAGAGATACAAGCAAAGTGCTGGAGAGGTTCTAAGGAAGGAAACAATCTACCTCCTTATGAGTTCATGAAGAATGTGGAATCTGACATGGGATAAAAATATAGCTGGATTTATAACTGTGATAGGATTATTATTCCAGGTGGTCCAGACATTCCCTCAGTCTAGAACATTATTCTATTTCCCACTTCCACTCTTTTCTCTATACCCTCTTTTGGCCTGGATTATTCCTATATGCTTTTCAGGCATCAGACTAGATATCACTTCCTACTGGAAAACCTCCCCAACCCTCTCTAGCCTGAGTTAAGTGATATCAGACTAGATATCACTTCCTATTGGAAAACCTCCCTGACCCTCTCTAGCTGTATGCTCCCATAACACCCTTCCGCAATGCCACTATCACAGACAGCAGCTAATATATTGAATTTAATTGCTTATTTGTCTCTCTTCCTCTGGATTATAAAGCTCCATGAGGGCAGAGACCCTATTTTGGTCCTCATTATAATATTGTCATAACTACTAGATATTCAGTATATATTCATTGAATGGAGTGAATGAACAAATGGACAGAGATCAGCAAGAACAAAGAAAGAGGGAAGAAAACATGGGTTGTGTTCAGGGAACATTATTACTGAAGCAGCTCACGTAAGGACAGGAACTAGTGGCAAATTCATTCATTCAAAAATATTTACTGAACGCTTGTTAAGTTTAGGGGACACAGCAGTAAAAAAGATAGACATGTCCTGTTCTCATGTTATTTAAATTATGATTTATGGGAAATAATGATACAAATATGGGTTGGGGCTATTCTGGAGAACAAGAATATGAACACCAAACCATGTAAATCTAATGTTATGAAGAAAGAAGAAACAAACTCTGAGCTGAAGAACAAACTTTTTGCATGGTGTCAAGAAGCAAGCTTATTGTAAAGACCATATTCTTAATATGTTAAAAGTTAACCTAGTTAGCTTTACATGGTAGAGGAAAGTACAGAGCAGGTTAGGAAGTAAGGAGCAAAGGCTTCTCGACCAGGTCTTAGGACAGGTCCTGTAGAAAATACTCCGTGGCCTGCCTAATCAGGACTGTGAACCTAAATACCAATAGAGATCACTCTGGGAATGTAAAAGAGTGAGGCAGAATGGATGGGGGCTATGTGAACTATTGAGTTCTTACTTCCTGTAAAAGCAGCAGGCACACAAAGCTTCATTTAACTTTTGCCAAATGGAATATACAACCAACTGTGGTCATTATCATCCCATTTTTTAAGAGAAGGCAAAAATCTATTTATTTCACTCTCCCAATTTTTAAGTACTGGGAATTTAAGAAATTTACACCCTGTCAGTCAATCAAAACACATCTGCAGCTGTGACTAGTCGGAAAGCCACTAATTTGCAAGCTCTAGTGAAAATTTTCTCCACTTTGGCAAAGCAGGATATGGCTGTGAAAGAAGAAAAAAAATTCAACTTCACACTAGATGTTTTTCCTGGAAGCACTGCTTTAATTTTTAAAAACTCCACTTACAGTTTTGAGTAAGTGAGAATTACAGAACACAAAATAGGAAAAAAAATAAAAGACTTCCTTACTTTTAAAAGCATTATTAAAAATCAACATTGTTAATAAATACTATTGATTACATAATCTATATGTAACATCCCAAAGTCAAAGGAGTGTTATTAAATGCTTGGTACAAAGAAATAGACAAAAACCAGAAAGAACTAGCTCAATATTGGATAGTCTAAAATACCTAAACTGTCAAAATTACCTCCTGGAGCTATACTTTTCTGGCAAGTAAAACTGCCATTAATTTAATATTGAATGTTTATAATGTTTAATAAAATATCAACTCATAACACTTTTGATATACCAGTTATACATGTATAAGCTTTGTGTATATTTCATAGCACACTGGGGTCTCATATGTGGACAGCTCCCTTATACCTTTTTCATGTAATAAGTAGTTTATTATTTTAAATGACTATAGGGCATTTATGGCTATACCTTTATTTTGATGACAAATAAGAGATCTTATCTCTGATTTACACAATGCCAAGTTCTTGGTCAAGAAACTATCTGTTTCCATGGAAAAATATGATTTCTTTAAAGCAATCAATTTTATAAGCTTATCAAAAACATTTGAAAACAAAAACAGTTGAAAAGCTTCAGAACAACTAACAGAAAAGCATCTGCCAAACACTGCATAATTTAACACATGAATGCAAGTACAACTGAAGATACATTTCTTTCAAACGGTTGTTCATATTAGTACTTCTGTGGCAGGTAAATGATTCCCATTCTCATGCTCACACCTTCACAGAAGATTAGCACAAATTAATTTTTTTAATGCAATCAAATGCTATTATACTCACGAAATTGCCTCCTCTCTGTTTTCTCCCCAGGAAAAGCAGTGACCAAACTGAGAATCAGCAAATTCATGAAGTCCCCCTGCAGCAGCAACACTGAAGTAGCCCCAAACGTTCTTATTGCTGCGGAAGTTCAGTTCCTGAACCGTTCCTGAGCTGGGCTTAAAACCCTGTTAGAGAGTGAACACTATGAGTTTCATATTGTGTTTCCAAGGAAGACAACATACATATATATTCATTGTTTAGGCTCTCTGGTAACCCCACATAAAAGCAAAAATGACAAACAAAACTCATAAAGGTTTGAGAGCCAACGTCCAGTGCTACAGACCCACTGAGGCTAAAGGTGAATTAAATGACCAGTGGAGCAGTGATCATTTACTTGTCTGCTCTGATGAAATCTCTATAAATTTCCCTCTCCAGAGGAAGCCCCAAGGTATTTCAGAAGTATGCGCTCAAGATACCATCTTAATATTAAAGTTCACAGGGGAAAAAAGTCTAAACCTTTTAAGTGACAGGTTACCTCATCTGGATTTTCACTAGTGATCCGAGCAGCAATAACATGGCCTCTTGGGCAAGGAACATGAGCAGAATTTTCAAAATCAATCGGAGCATCACCCCAGGGAGATACCCCATACATTATACGGATATCCTTGATTCTGTACAGAGGGATCCCCATGGCAATCTGAAAGATAATACAACACACAACACTCATTTTTTCAGTTACTTTCCTTAAAATGTGGAGGCTATCAAACTGCCTACAGATTTCTCACTTTAGTAGCTACTAACTAAGACTTTAAAAAATATGGTATTACTAGATTCACACCACATCAGGAAAACCACCACACATATCAAAACCCATAGAGGCACAGAGATGAATGTTAGATGAGACTAGGAAAATAGGTGCTTTTCTCATATCAGACTCTGGTTAAACCAGTTTTTCAGGCACCTTGACATTCCAAGCTTCTCTAGGCAGCTCTTTGAGCCAAAATCAGGTGACTCACCTGGAGCTGTGCTGCAGGCAGGTTGACATCAGCCACCATCTCTGTACAAGGGTGCTCCACTTGTAGTCGAGGGTTTAGTTCCAGAAAATAGAAGCTTCCATCCTGGCTGTAGAGATATTCTACAGTCCCAGCACTCACATAACCAACCATTTTGGCAAGTTTCACCGCACACTCAAAAAAGAAAGAGAAGCAAAACATAAGTGTCTTACCTTGTCCAGCTGGTAGACCATTACTTATCTATAGCTTCTTCCTGACTCAAATATCTTGTGTTTATAAGAGTCACCAAAGGCTTTTGACCACACAAATTTTATCCTCTCTGGATGTTACACAAGATCCCTGGACATGGATGACAAACTCAATTCAAAGCTGGGGGAAATCAGTGTTTTTCACTTGGGATTATGGGCAACCTCACCCTATCAGGCATAAGTACATGCATGCAAAAAACACTGTGGCAGAGTCGTCGTTGTGCCTTGGTTTCTAGTATTACTCCTAGAAACATGGTTGTCCATGTTAGAAACAAGCTAGAGACTAGACTTTCCAACCTCTTTTATAGGTAGTGACTAAGTTTTGACCAGTGTAATATCAGCACTGGTAAGTGATGTGTATAATACATGAATCATTTTGAAAAGGAAATTGCTTGTCCTCTATTCCTGGCTTTCCTCCTTCTAAAGACTGGAACATGGTCATGATAGTGCAAGCCAGTTTCAACCATGCAGATGAGAAATACTAAGAATGGCAAAACAAAACAGAAAGAACCTGAACCCCAAGATAGCCTCAGGGAGCAGAACTGTCCTAACAGCTCTGGAGAACTCATCTCAGATGATGGGAGGGAAAAAAACATCTACCTTACCTCGATTGTTGTAATTTTTAGATCCTTTATTACAACAGCTGACTCATACACTGATCAATACAGAAACTATGAAATTCAGATAGGATGCTACTATTTAAAAAATTAAAAAATATGATACTGGCTTAGCAATAGGGTAGTGGGTAGCCAGGATACAGACACGACAGACTGGAAAGCTGGTGGCCTCCTTGTTAGGTATACAAAACATGTGGTAAACTCTCCTGGAACACAGATTACACACCAAATAAGCCCTAAGAAAAATGGTTATAGAAAGTTAGAATGTGAAAAAACCAACTGCTTTTGTACCCCACAAGCAGAATACTAGATTCTCACCCTGAAGCAACCCAGTGTTAAAAACAAAATTAAAAAAAGAACAGGTTGACGCAGTGTCAAAGACCAAATAAAAGAGAAGTTAAGAAGGGGTATGGTTACTCCTACCTGAAGCTGAGTGGAAGCAAACAGTCCAGAAACTTGCTAAGTTTTGAGGAAATTATATTTTAAACAAACCATAAACTTGGCCTTCAAAAGCCTGTAACTGATAACCGGAGTAATCTTTGTGGTCCCAATCCTGCAGGCAGGAGGGGAGCTGTGAAAGCTCTGCCAAAAAAAGGCATGGTCTTCAAAGCCCCAGTGCAGAGAAGACTGAACAAGGAAGAACTTCCTAGAGAACAAAGCCAGATGCTTGAGGGACAATGTACAGGGATTTACTTGCAGAGGGCAGAACTAGGGGCAGCCAGAGGGCTAATTAAAGTATAACTCCACAACACGGCAGGACATCATTACAATTCCTGCCTAGGAGGATCTGATGACAGCTGTGAACCAAAATAACCATTATTTATTTTTCATTCTTCTTTTTATCCAAATGGAAGTTATCCTGTTCCTATTCTACCACTGTATACTCGGTGTATATGAGAAGAAGTAATGAATGTTAAGGAGTAGAAAACTTGTATTTTAGGTCACTGGCCCATGAAAAGCCAGACGACTACACTACTGGAGATCTTGGACTTGGAGCTGAACATAGTAACTGGATGAGACTTTGTTTTGGGCTGTTTTCTTTGGCGAAAGGCTAGCTATGTTTAAGAGTAAGAAAAAGGGTTTTAAAGGGTAATCGTAGCCAGGGGAGAAGAATGAGGCACAGACTTTTAAATGCCCTGCAGAAATTTTTCTTTGTGCCATCTATTTAGTAAAAGAATTTCCTGAATTTCAGCTGATTATAGAGCTACCCAGTTAGTGAAGACAATTCTTAACATCCTTTGTAGCTAGATGTGATTGTATAACTGAAGTTTGTCCAGTGGAATGTGAGTAGAAGTACTATGTGTGACTTCTATATCATATTTTTATATATTTGACCTCCATGTCCTCTCTTTCATCATCTCACAGGCTACAATGTGAACATAAGATCGTGAGCTAGCTTCAATCACAAAGATGATGACACCTGAGGACAAGGGTTGGCAAACTTTTCAGTAAAAGGCCAGATAGTAATTATTCTCAGCTTTGTGGGCCATACAGTCTATGTCACAACTACTAAACTCTGTCATTGCAGCAAGAAATCAGACATAGATATCATATAAATAAGTTCCAATAAAATTTTATTTACCAAAACAGGTGGCAGGTTGGATTTGGCCTGCAAGCTGTAGTTTCCTGATCCCTCTCCTAGCATATGGCAGAGCAATAAACCTGGGTCCTGGCACTAGCTCATCTCTGAACTATGATGAGAGTAAAAAACAGAACTTATACCTTGCTTAAGCTACTGTACTTTGGAGACCCTCTTTATCATAGCAGTTTAAGAATGCATCTTAATACACACACCAACACCCACACACTCACACATAGGAATTAAACTTCCAATACAGATGACCCCATATTGACTTGTTTGGAATTCAGGAAGAAAAAGAGATGAAAAACATATCTCCAATAAAATGAAGACTCAGTCAAAATCTCAGAAAAGACCATATTCAGACCCTTAAACTGTAACTATTTCCAAGGGACCTTGTATGACTACTGAGAGATTCTTTTCTATACAAAAATATAGAATATGTAAACTTTAAAGATACTTAGAGGACCTTTTAAGAGATAATGAATTAGAATAAATTCATCTGAAGACACAATGATAATCAATCTAGGAAACAGAACTACCTGCTTACCATGAGCTTGTTAAAGAAAATCAAACAATAAGATTAAAAATCCCCAAATATTCCTCTTCTTTATCCCTACTCAAAGTAGTATACTACTTTTTTTTCAGAAGTGTTAACTAATTTGAGCTTGAAATGTTCACTGGCAGTCTCCTAGAGGGAGAACATTAGAATTATTTTTCTTCTGAGAAAAGGATATAATCTTATCAATTACCCAGAAGTACTGCTTAAAATTCCACTATTCTCAGATAGGTACATGAACTGAATGAGTAGTAGCTCTGTGTAAGAAAACAAAAATTAAAGCTTTTCATATACATACCTGTTCCATATGTTCAAATACTGCCGGAGTAGCGATAGCAGCAGGTGCCTCTTCAATAATCTTCTGATGCCTGCGCTGTACAGAGCAGTCACGGCCAAACAAGGAGATAGCATTCCCATACTGATCTGCCAAGATCTGCACCTCTAAATGACGAGATTGTTTGGCTAGTCTCATCACAAATATAGGAGATCCAGGGACTTCGGCTTGAACCTATATTAGAAAAGGAAATAAAACAAATTCATAAATGGTAAACATTTTATCTATCCTGAAAGGATGCTTCAATTCAACAGGCAGATGCCTAGAAGTGTCAAGGACCATATTAACCAGTAGGAATACAAAAATGAATAAAACATAGTTCATGGCCTTGTCTATTTTTAAGATAATGCATTCTCAGTAATATAACCAATATTAATTGATGAACATGAAAACATATGAACATCCAGTGTGTTAGGTAAAGAACAAAATTTCTTTAAAACACACAAACACAAATCCCACAAAAGGGTAAAATACTGCCACCAATTCCAAACACCCAAATGGACCACTTGCTCCAGATTAGATGTTTTCCCAGTCCATACGTTCATCATCTATAGTATTACTGTAGTCACAGGAATTTCATCTTCAGTTTTGAAGTATATTGTCACTAAATACAGAATTCTACACTGGCAATTGTCTTCTTTCAGCACTTTAAAGATATCCTGATGTTTCCTGGCTTTCACTGTTTCTACTGAGATGTCAGTTATCAGTCAGTTATCAATCTTTTGTTATTCCTTTGACAGTAATCTTTTTCCAGCCGCTTTAAGATTTTCTCTTTCTCTCTCTTTTTAGGAAGTGAGGCAGCAGATTTACTCTGGTGAGCTTAGATGTGGTTTTCTTTGTACTTGTCCTGTGGGGCTCATAGTGCTTTTTGAATATGTGCTTGGTATCTTTCGCAAGTTCAGGAAAATTCTCAGCCATTATCTCTTCAAATACCTCCATTCTCTCTCTTCTCCTCTGAGACTCAAAGTACATGACGTTAGATCATTTCATTGAATCCCATGTGCCTTTTATGTTGTTTGGCTATATAATAAGTCACCTCAAAACTCAGTGGATTCCTTATGACACCAACCATTGTATTTGCTCGTGATGCTGTACTCATCTGGGCCATTCTCTTGGTCTTGCCCAGGGTCACTCATGTGCTTATCACCAACTGGTAGCTTGAATGGGCTAAATGGTCTCACTCAAATGTCTAGTGATTTGTATTGACTGTTGGTTAGTAGGTCTAGGGAGCCTTGACTGGACAGCTCATCTCTACTGTATGTGGCCTCTTATCCTCCAGCAGCCTAGACCAGGCTTCTTCGGTGCAGTGCTCCAAGACAGTGAGGGCAGAAACTGTAAGGCTTCACAAGCTCTAGGCTCTAGAACTTACACAATACCACTTCAGCCACATTCTAATGGTCTAAGCAAGCCACAGGGCTAGCTAAGACTTAAGGGGTGGGAAAAGAGGTGCCACCTCTTGATGGAAGGAAAGGCAAAGTCACATTGCAAAGGGATATACATACAAGGATGGGAGGAGTTATTGTGGCCATCTCTACAAACAATCTACTATGGTCCACCCTCTGGCCACAATAATTCACATACCTCCCACATGCAAAACAGACTCACCCCCTCCCAAGACCCCTAAAGTCATCCAATCATGGCATCAGGCTTGACATCCATTTTCTCATGAATCATGTCCAAAAGCAAATGAGATTCCTTGGCTGCAGCTCGTCAGGTGCAGTTTCTCTTGCTTCAAAGATCTGGGAACTAAAAAGACAAGTTATCTGTCCCCAACACCCCCAACATTTAATGACAAGATGGAAGAGGATAACTATAAAAGATTCCTTTTCAAAGAAGAGAGGAATGGAGGTACATAGCAGTCAATGCAGATTGGTACGTGCCGTCAGATTCCCTTATACCTAGGGGCATAGAATTTTTTTAGGGTCTTGCTCCCTGGGAATAGCCTCCTAATCCGTGACTCCCCTTTGCTCTTAGCTCTGCCGTCTGGGCTTCTGTCTCTACTCTCTGAAAATTCTTTTTACTAGAAATAACTGATATTTACAGCTAAATAGCTTTCTCAGTCTGCTTCCTATTTATAGAAAATTGAAGGCCCAGAGGCCCCTTTGAAGTTTGAGTTGTCTCTGTCCCTTATTCTCTTTGGTGAATTCATCAGTACAAGTTCCCTTGAAAACTTTTTGGGTTTCCTATGAATCATACTGGGGATTCAATCCTTTCCCCAAAAGATGTATCCATAATTTTTCAGGCACTTTGGGTATGTATATCAGGCTGCTATTGGACAAACACCTTTAAGAAACCCTTTTCTTATAGCTGAAAGGGTAATCTACCAGGTACTATCTTATGTATTTCTGAGGTCTTGAAGGATTTCGCAGGCATTCTTGATTTGGCCTTTACCCTGAGGTAATTTTTTACTTTTAGAATCTTTTGCCAGCTAGAGAGACTGGGAAGGAGAAACAGTTCTATTTTCAAACAACAAATTTGAAACACCTCCTTTAGCCCTCCTTTAGTTTGTTTTATAGTTCCTTAGCATAAGCAACCAGAAGCACTCAAAAGATACTTTCAATATATTGTCTAGGGATGTCTTTAAGTAGGTCTATGAGTTCATTAAAGACATTCTGTATCTTCCAAGTTACCTCAGGCAATTGTTCCATCATTACAGAAAGTGGATTAACATTTTTCCAGGCTCTAATAACAAAACAATCATCTCACTGCCTTTCAGCCTCCACTAACAGTGAGTTCATAATTTCTCCAGTCTTCATTAACAAGTTCCTCCCATTTTTCCATCCTCTACCTATGAGCCAGCCTCAAAGCTAATGTCAAATATTTTGCTTTTTTGTTATGGCAGCATCGCACTTTTAGGTATCGATTTCTCTGTCAGTTTCCCATTGATGCCACTAAAAATTTAGTGCCTTAGGACACTGACCATTTTATTTTATTTGCTCATGGCAGTTTGAGCTGGGCTCAGTTGGCAGTTCTTCTACTGATCTTGGCCTGGAGCTACTCCTGCAACTATAGTCACCTGGCAACTTGCCTGGAAGTAGATGGTGTAATATGGCCTCACTGACATGTCTCAAATGTGGCACTGTCATCAGTAGGCCTAGAAAGCCTCAGCTTGAACAACTCATCTACATTTCATGTGGCCTCTCTTTCTTCAAAAAGCTAGACTGGACTCTTCACATGGAAGTCTGAGGCTCATTCCAAGAGCAAAAGGGCAGAAACTATAAGAACACTTGAGGCTTCAAAACTTGTACACCATTTCTGTCACATTCTACTGGTCAAAATACATCACAAGCCCAGCGAAAAATCAAAGACTGGGGGAAAAAGACTTTGTTAATGGGACAAGAGGCAAAATCACACTGTAAAAGGGTGTATATACAGGGAAGGGAGGATTTATCAAGGTCATCTTTGCAAATAATCTCTCCTATCCTCTTTTCTTTATTTTTCATCTTTTTTGTCAGTCTTTATGCTCCATTTTGAATTCTTATGACCTATCTTTCAGTCACCAATTCTCTGTTTAAGTGCATCTAATATTATATTAAATTCTTCTACTGACTTTTTAATTTCAGTTATTGCATTTTCAGTTCTAGAATTTTCATTTGTTTCTTCTTTATAGTTTCTGGTTTTCTGCCAAAACTTCTGAATCTTATCTTTAATTTCCTTAAATACATAGTTACTTTATAATCCTTGTCTGTTAGATCCATTATCTAAACCATGGGTCTGTTTCTACTGACTTACTTTTCTTGATTTTCAGTCATACAGTTTGATATGCCTGCTTATTTTTAATTGGCTGCTTGATACTGCATTTGAAAAATTAACAGAAATAATTTGAGGTTCTGGATGTTGTCTTTCTCTGGAGAGAATGTATATTTGCTTCCTCTGGCGACTACTGACACTAGTAATCCTAGCACACCTTACCTGAATCAAGGGTTGAGTGTTGCAAGCTGAGATTTAGTCCCTGTGTGGGGTAGTCGATTTCCACCTCACTCTTACCTCCTGAGGTATATAGTCCTTTCAACATTCCAATCTCCAATGTGCGAGGTTTTCCAGAGCACTGTCCTCAGCAAATCCTAAAGCCTAAGTTTTGTCCTTTTAGTCTTGAAAGACTGTTGAAAACTCTAATCAGCTTTTTGACTGCTCCTTCTCAAACTAGAAGGTATCTCTAGGGAAAAAGTGGCCTCAAATGCCAGGCTCACCTCTGAGTTTCCTTCTCCTATATCTTAGTCCCACAGTTACTCACTGCCTTGAAATGTCTCTAATTAGTTAAAACAGATTTTTTAAAAAATTTGATTCAGCTTTTCTAGTTTGCTCTCAGTGGAAGGACTGGTTTGAGTTATTTAGTTAATCATTATGGGAACTTAAGGACTTTCACATACACCTTCCTAATCTAGGTGTTCTAGATTCTTCAATTTCATTCCATAATAATAAAGTTTTGAAATATCTAAAAGAGTTAACAATTTTAAACATTAGCATGCTTTGTTTTTTGCTTCTAAGAGCAAAAGGCCTTTTCTTTAGAACCCACGAGGCACTTATCTACCTACGAACTTAGAATTACTGAAGAAGGAATGTAAAGAAAAGACAGGCAATATTCAAATTCTGACACTTAAAACAGGAAAATGCAGCAAAACAATACCTTTATCACTTTTTAAATCTAGTACATCAAATCATGGAAGACCCACTTCATAGAGTTCTTCTCTTCAGCCCATGACAGTGAAGCAAGAAATGTGTTGTTGGATGGTTTTAAAAAAGAGAGGGCAAAAAAATAAGGTGGCTAGGGGTATTAGTGAAAAGTAGTGCAAAGTAAAAAAACACTGGTAAAAATAAGAAAGTGAGAAGCCAGGAAAGTTAAAAGGCCTGAATGTGTCACGATTTTCCTTTTATTGACTCCTCCTTTTCTGGGTATTAATGAGAGAAAAAGAAGTGAGTCAAGTAGGTGAGGGTAACTCTAAGGAGAGGAAGAAGTGACTCCTACCAGATTCAATCTCTAAGATGCTGAAAAGAGATCATTTATTTGGCCTCTATAACCAACTTGCAGTATGGCCACATCAACATGGCTACAGATCAGAAGGTTAGGTAGAGAGGGATCCTAGGTTTAGCTCTTCTGGGCCAATCCTCAGCACTCATAGACTATGGACCACTATAGGGATCCTGTGCTAAGGTGTGGTGGCCATGCAGCCAACATGGCAGAAATTCAGAAACCTATAGTCAATTTGAACTGAAGTGAGCATGGGCCTGGCCAAGCCAAGAATATCCAGACCAGGTGTTAACCATACCATATACTTTATCTACAATGCAAGTAGAAGGAGGACACAAAAATGTAGAAAGACACTAACTCTTCCTTCTCACTACAAGGTCCGATGAGTCCCATGTACCACAGGTAAAAACCATATGGGAAACTAAGCACTTTTATATAAGAGAGCATAACTCTACTGTTTGAATTACCTAATTGAATATAACCTTAAACTGAATTGGACATTTCATTAACACTTTCCCCTGCTAATAAGCTGGAGAGAAACACTAGATTAGTTATAGACAAAATAAAAAATTAAATATATTCTGGACATCCAAATTACAGTGTGAATTATTTATTTTATTTTACTGAGGTATAATTGACAGAAAAGATTATATTAGTTTCCGGTATAATGATAAAATATTTGTATATATAATCTGAGTTAAATCATGTATCTCTAATATATATGTTAATTTAAATAAATAAAAACAACTTGTATTCTACCTGTCTGAAGAGGTTAGGGAAATCATCTGCATTGTTGACTTTTCTGATTCCTTTTCCTCCTCCTCCTTCTGAGGCTTTGATCATCACTGGATATCCAACTTCTTCTGCAGCCTTAAAAAGAAAGAGAAAAATAAAATAAGAGTGGTATTAGTAAGAAAGGAGAAAATTGGCATTTTTCTCCCTTTAAGATGCAGTCATTTGACTGTTGGTGGGAATGTAAATTAGTTCAACCATTATGGAAAGCAATATGGAGGATTCTCAAAAAACTAAAAACAGAAATACCATTTGACCCAGGAATTATGCTCCTAGGAATTTACCCAAAGAAAACAACATCCCTGATTCAAAAAGACATATGCACCCCTATGTTTATTGAAGCACTATTTACAATAGCAAAGATGTGGAAGCAACCTAAGTGTCAAACAATAGATGAATGGATAAAGAAGATGCGGTACATATACACAATGTAATATTATTCAGCCATAAAAAGAAAATAAATCCTACTATTTGCAACAACATGGATGGAGCTAGATGGTATTATGCTCAGCGAAATAAGTCGGGAGGAAAAAGACAAGTACCAAATGATCTCATTCATTTGAGGAGTACAACAACAAAACTGAAGGAACAAAACAGCAGCAGGCTCACAGACTTCAAGAAGGGATTAGAGGTTACCAAAGGGAAGGGGTTGGGGAGAGAGGGCTGCGAAGGAGGGAAAAAGGGATTAAGGGGCATTATAATTTACAATCACAATATAAGTAGATCACGGGGAAGGTAGTAAGTACAGCATGAAGAAGACAAGTAATGACTCTATAGCTTCTTACTACGCTGATAGACAGTGACTGCAATGGGGTGGGGATGCGGGGGATTTGATAATATGGGTGAATGTTGAAACCACAATGTTGTTCATGTGAAACCTTCTTAAGATTGTATATCAATGATACCTTAATTTTAAAAAAAGTCATCTGGTAGATCTATATGTGGTAAAATAGAAAGATCTTGAAGATACACTATTAGGTGACAAAAAAAAGTAATAGAGCAGTATTTGCAGTATTAGGTCAAACCAAAAGAACTTGCCTTTTCTGCAAGTAAAAAATGATTGAATATTGACAATTTCATATTGTTCAATCTAAAGTAATTCCAAATAGCAAAATAAAACTAAGTGTTTTTATGATTATGTATGCATTCATAAACACACATATTAAGTACAACAAAAAGCCTAGAGTATACACCAGTGGCGATTTATAAAAGGAAGATGGGGAGATATAAACTTTCACTTTTTACTGCATATATTTCTGCATTATTGTAATTTCTCATAATATGCGGGTGTTCATGTACCCATAATTTCTACTTAAAAAAAGACGTAAGTAGTTCACTCAATGCAAGTGGGTGGTTTCACTGCAGTGTCTGATAACATATAAGTAAGATTCAATAAATCAGAATTTTTATGTATCCAGAAATTGTTTCTCATTTTTGTAAATGATAAAAATAAGATATCAAAGTATTAATAAAATTAGTCAGAAAACTCATTTTCAACACATTCTGTAAATGTGTTTTTTATATTTATAGTATTTTATAATGATCAGGTTATGATTCCAAAACTTTTTGAAAAACTATTTATATAACCATGAAGTAGAGAGCTGGTTAAATCAAGACATACCCATATATTAGAATACCAAGCAATTATTAAAAGAGACATACCCATATATTAGAATACTATGCAATTATTAAAAGGAATGAGTTGGCATTTACATGTAATGATATGAAGATGTCCAGATTGTACTGTTAAGGCAAAATACAAATGGGGGAAAAGTTAACTAAAAGTTTAAAATAACCAAGTAATTCATTTGTCAAAACACTCCAGTCTTTTGAGGTTTACATAATAACAACACCTAAAAAAAGTGTCACCAGAGAAAGAAAAATTTTAATTTGTGCCAGTAGATTACACATGAAAATCTTTCACTTGTAGTCCCATCTCTTCCAAAATTCTCTTAACTCTATTCATTTCTATGCTTATAAAAAGTTATCATGATGAACTCAATCATTGGGTAATAAGTAATCAAAGAAACAAGTGTGGAAAAAAAACTTAAAAAATAGGGTAGCCCAAATGATGTTAGTAAGAAGGTAGGCCTTCTAAAAATATGTGAAAGTTCTAGGCACAGGTCACCCATTTAAAATATTTAAGAATAATTTAATGCCATGAGGAAAATGCTTATATATATCATTAAGTGGAAAAAAACCCTAAAATTACTAGGCAATACATACAGTAAGAGCCTAATTTTGTAATTATAATTATGGGAATCTATTAATAAAGATTATCACTATATGAGTCTATAAATGAGAAAGACTAGAAGAAAATACATGAATGGGTATGTATCTCTGGATGGTGGGTTTATGTTATGGGTGGTTTTATCTCTTTTCCTACTTTCCAAATTTTCTATTAGAATTTTTATGTTTATAATTATAAACCAGGAAAAAAAGGAATTTTAATTAATAAGCAAATTTGCTAGTTCTTTACAAAGAAAGGGCTTCTACTCTCATAAATTACAGCAAATAGAATATAGCATTTGCAATTCAATTAGAAATACTACTTCTTCTTACTAAGGAGATTACAGGATGCTTACTTAACTTGAAATGCAAACAATACAGCAAAATTAGTTGAGCATTCAGCTTTCCTCTTGAATTTATAATTTTGAAGTTAAATAAAGGAGTGTGTTTTCTAAAATGGCCTCTTTCATCATCTAACTGGAGGCTTAACTGACACTTCCAACTAGTTAAGATGTGAAAGGAAAACAAACTGGAGAGAACTATGAAGGCAAGAAAAGGTAATGTCAGACAAACGATCTCCTTTTGCTTGGGTTCTACACAGATGAACAATAAGTAGAGTAACATCTCCAGACTCTCTCAGTTCCCTCCCTTACTCCTCCCCAAGGGAAAAAGAGTAAATTATGTGGTTGGTCAGTTCAGCCTCTTCCTTCTGGGATCATCTCACTGCACAGACCACACACTCTTTGTCAGCTCTCAGCCACACAAGAAGCAGAATGGTAAAAGCTGTCTCCACAGAGAGGTCTGTGGTTATCCAACACCACCAGTACACAGGGAGTGAGCCTGCTGAACTCTGACATTCAGTACACAAATCTGATTGTTGTGACACACATAAGCCATTTTCACCAACATCTGTATTAATAATAAAGCTGACATTTTCTCTCTATCTGCCTGGCTTTTTGGTTCTGAATTCAAGCAGGGGAAAAAGTGAGTTGTCTGTTGCCTGCCCGTTCCACCCTCCTCTCCACTATACTTCCCAAACCAACAGGTGGTGGAGAGGAGAATCTCCTGGAGAGGAGAGGAGAATAAGGAAAATACCTTGTTAAGCTCTGATTTAACTACCTGAAAAATGTTCTGTCCAGGGGAATGGCTTGCTTCAGAACAAATTTAAATTATTTTCATTAAATCTAGGTCACTTCCTTTCTCTATAAAAAATACCTCCTGGTCTTACAATCCTAATGCCATCATGGGTATATACGATGGACCAGGTTTCAAGTTGGATTTGCGACCCGAATTGGTCAGTTGAAAAGACATCATTCCCTAGAGTTAGTAACATACCTTTAACCCATCATCCACATCTTTCACATAACCTTTTTCATATAGTTCCTGGGGAACATTTAAGATGCGTTTCGAAAAATCATTTTCATGCCAGTCCACACGAAGACCTGCAATAGATCACAGTGACTTAACAGCAACTACAAGAGCTTCTGTTCTTCTCAATTTTATGCTATACCTTCTTTTAAATGCTCTCATATTTATCCTAAACTAAGGGTAGATAGAAGAAAGAAGGATACAATAAAACCCTGATTAGTCCCTGGAGTTAAGGATATTTAACTACAGCAGGACCTGGCAACTTGGATTCTTATGCAGGAAGAAGCCAGGAGAAATAACAGGGAGCAAATTTATAAAAATACAAGAACACATCAAAAAAAAAAAAAAGGCATGTCAGACTTCTCAGAGTAACTCGGCAAGCAAAATACCTTTGAATTGTGAGTTCAGACCTGCTCCAGGGCCAGAGGTTTGGGAAATAATTCAATCTTTATGAGCCCTTGGAAATGGAAATGGCAGTTTTATTGGCCTCAACAGAGTCATGATTCCATGCTCCCTGAATGTCCCTGTACTCAGCCGAAGGGGAATGCTACAGCCTCCTCATTCGAACAAGAACAAATTCAACCTTTTATTTTAAACTGTTTGACTCAGCCGGTCTGGCGAGGGTACTGCAATCCCCCTGGAGAGCCAGAGTAACAAGAGTTCAAATCAGTTCAGCTTCAAGACAATGGCCATGACCACTTGAAAAAGGCTTTAGTGTACATCTCCTTCCTGTGCTAGAGTACAAAAAAAGGGAAGTTCATATGTTATGAGCTATAATAATTATTCACATGACACTCTTAAAGGGATCTGTTAAGAATAAATTATTTTTAGGAAAATTTTATTCTTCCACATGCCTGAAAGAAAGGTGGACTACTGACCTCATTTTCTGAATCAAGGAAAAATGAGAGGTTGAATGGTATTGAACAGGCAAAGTAAATCATCAATATTGTGGACTGATATAAAAAAAAAAACAATGGGAGGCAAACATTTGACTAGGTGGCTTCAGTGATCCAACTCACCTGCCAAGCAAGTTCAAAGGCTTAATTCTGCCTAGAAAATGCATCTGTGGAGATTCTAGCCTACCCAGAGCAGATCTGAATCTACAGAATCCTATGCATTCTGTGCAGAGTTTCTCCAAATTAAGTCCTAAGATCACTTAAATCAGTTTAGCATCTGTGTACATGGCAAAAAATTTATAATCCTAAAACATGATAAAACCACGGTATATTGAGTATTCCAATAAATTTTCAACAAACTTAAGCCCTAGGCCACAGTGCCAAATATCCTACTGAGCTTTTCTGCACTTCAAGATACAAACAAGAAATACTTTCTTACCATTGCCACTCCAGGGAAGAGTTGGGATACCTGCAGTTTGAGCCACTATGGAAGATGCAATCTTATCCCCCAAAGCCCACATAGCCTGGCTTGGAGGACCTAAAAACAAACAAGAAAAGAACTTCTAACTATAATATCTTGGCCTCATTTATGTCATATATTAGTTTGTTTTCTATGTAATTATTTTTGTATTTGTCTTGCCTCTCCTGTATCACATCTCATGGAGATCATAACTTGACTGTGGGACTACTTACTATGTTTTGACTTATTTTTGTACCCTTTATAGAACCTAGTATAATAAGCTTTCAGCATATAGTGAGAGTTCACTATTTAAAAATATATGCTGAATTAAATTCCTAACAAATCTAACTTTGATTTTACCATTCTTCATGATCCAATTTTATCAGATTAACAAAATATGTTTTCTTCTTTTTTTAACCAATTATCTTTAAATAAAGATCATAAAGTTTTGGGTTCAAGTCTGAAATATTATTCCCTCCTTGGGCTGAAGGAAACCCAAAAGGAGATTTATTTTACTAAGGTTTACAAAGCATAATCATCATTGTGGAAGATAGAAACACATTTGAACCATGTAACCTTGATTTTTCTCTCTGCTATAGGTGAGCAGAAAAGTCAGAAGCAATAGCTCCCACTTACAGGAATATAACCTATATTCTTAAATGTAAAGGTGCTGATTCATATTTAAGGGCACACTGCAAGGATCCCAATATTCAATTATCTTTGCTATATAAAAATAGGCCCTTTCTCTACTATTTTCTTAAGGTTAATGGCAAAGTTTCAAAAGGCCAGTGTTTTGGAAATCAAAGCATCCTCTGTATCTCATGGAAAAGAACCCAGGAACAAAAACACAATTAAGATGCACAGAGATAAGCAGGGTGTAAGAAATGAGGAAGGAAAACAAAAAAGAAAAAGAAATGAGAGGGTTACTCTGACAGTTGGTGACTGATGAAAAATAAGAGCCCAGAGCATGTTAAACAAAAGAAAAGCAGAACATAGAGTGGAATGTGGGCAAAACTGATGAAGAGAAACAGAAAGAACTGTGTCAGAAAGGCTCACCCATGAAGGCGATACCATTTTTCAACAGGAGTTCTGGGAGCTTGGGATTCTCAGAAGCATGGCCCCAGCCGGCCCACACTGCCTACAAAAGAACACATTGTGATTCACTCTTAAAATTCATACTTAAAAAACAAAACAAAACAAGACTGGACTTACTTGATGAGGTACAATAGTCCCACAACAGCCTAATGCTTAATTCAGCTTTTAACTTGATTGTTGGCAAACTTTTTATGGAACAATAACCAGTCTATTGTGGCAAAATTTCTGAACAGGTCAAAACCCAGTTGAAATTGATATTAAGATCCAGTTAATCTTGTTGCTCTTTAGGAAACTCAATTCATAGCATTTCAACTGGACTCTATAGAGCCTTTTCTAGAAATACTGGTTTTCTTTCTTGAATTCAATTACTTTAGCTAACCAACTCCACTGTTATATGTAGTGATTATACGCCATAAAAATTTTTAGTTTTTTCCTCTTTGGGTTTTAAAACACTTACCCTAAACATCCTAATACAATGTGATAGGGAAGAAACAACCTAATTCTATACCACCATATTCTTGTCTGATAATATTCCATGGGAAACAGGCAACTTTTCCTCATTTGGGATGGTTTGAAGGTGAAATGAATAGAAGAAGTCATCTCTGAAAGACCCTTACAAATCCTCTGTTTGTATTATGTTTATTTTGACTCATTCCATTCTTTCCATCTTTCCTTTCCCTATTGTATCCCATAAAAGGGCATTTATCAATTTTCAACAATGATGCTTTATATAAAATTAAAGGTTTTCCCCTGGATAACCCTTGCGCCTAACTGTAAAATTGCTAACTTGGGTTTTAAAGGACACATTAGCATCTCTTACTTGTACGGGGATCCTTTTAGCAATATCAAGGATTAATTCCACATTTGCATAGTTGTTATTGTTTGGTCCTCCTGGCACTGGTACATAGTGATCTGCCATTTTAATGTATTCTGAAAACACAAGCAAATTAATAGAGAGCACATGCTTTATTCTCAGAAATATAAGAGCAGAACAAAACCATGTAAAGGACAAGTACCATCATAAGTAACCACATTACAGACTGCATTAATAGGCTAATTTTCAGCACCATTTAGTTGGAGGCTGTGACTTTGTTAAGTCACAGGCACTAAATATGTGCTAAGGAAGCTCTTACACTAAAACAACAGTTCTCAAACATTTCACTATGTGGCCTTTCTGAAGGGTCTTTAAGACTGCTCTATCAACGATGATGTGTGTCACTTAGAGACCCATGTACAATTATTCTGAGAAAAAGTTCTCATCCTGACACCCTTTACCTTTAATTTGCTTTGTATTCTGTCAAAGCTCTTTCCTGAGAAAGCTGGGACAGATGGAAAAAACAGAGTAGAGTCTGAAGGGTTTATAGACTGGTTAAACAGGAAAGGTTAGTTACAGGAGTCCAGTAAGTGCTTGAAAAGGGTTTATCTGGAATGCTGGGAGATAACAGGTATTTAAAAGGCACTTTAAAAAGATAACTTTTTCCCCTCCTTACATTTTATTTTTTTCTCAGTATTCCCTCTGAAATTTGTCACCGAGTGTTCCTCTGTCTTCCTGTTCTGACAACTGTGGTAGAGGAGCTATAATGTGCAGGGACTGTACTAAACACTTTATATTATTTCATTTAATACTCAGTAATCCTATTCAGGCATACCTCAAAGATACCAAGGGTTCAGGGGCCAGACCACTGCAATAAAGTGAATATTGCAATAAAGAGAGTCAAATGAATTTTTTGGTTTCCCAGTGCATATAAAAGTTATGTTTATACTATACTGCAGTCTATTAAGTGTACAATAGCATTATGTCTTTAATTAAAAAAGGGTACATACCTTAATTTAAAAATACTCTATTGCTAACAAATGCTAAGGATCATCTGAGCTTTCAGAGTTGTAATCACTGATCAGAGATCACAACAAACATAACAATGAAAAAGCTTGAAATGCTGTGATAACTATAATGTGATATAGAAATCCCAAATGAGCAAATGCTGTTGGAATAATGGCACCTATTGACTTGCTTAATGCAGGGTTGCCACAAACCTTCAATTTATAAAAAATGTATATCTGTGAAGTGCAATAAAACGAGGTACGTGTGTATATGATAGTTACTATTAGTACTCAGCTTATAGGAAATCAGGGCTTGAAAGAGTTAATAACTTGCTCAAGGCCCATCTTCATCATATTTATTAATGTTTCTTATGTCTTGTTCTTAATCTTTAAAGGTTTTAACTCCTTCTAAAATACATTCCACTCAAGGTAAGATATAAGACCCTATAATTTGTTCAAAATAAAAATAGGTTTATTCTTCTCTTGGATTATAAGAGGGAAAGCATACAAATTATTAAAAAGATTTAGATAATGCATCAGGATGTAATAATACTATATCTTAAAAGCAAAAAACCCCATTGTCCTACTACCGAGAGATATTCAGGTCATGTTTTGATATGTAAGAAACTATAAATTGTTAACCAGTTTAACAAGTCTTGTGCATATCTTCCCATATTATAATATAGATACATATTTAGTATATATTTAACATTTTATGTACTTAATATATACTCAATTTTAATGGATATCTAATGTTTCTATAGTCTATAATTCACTTAACTACTAACTTATTGATGGACACATAAGTCATTAATAATTTGGAAAATATTAAAATAATGTAATGATGAATCTTTATACAGCTGTTCAATTATGTCCTTGGGACATGTTCCTAGAAATAAAACTACTGGGTCTAAAGGTATATACATTTTCAATGTCTGAATCACCTGAGATACTCACTAGCAATATGGGTGTCAAACTGCCTATACTCTCACCTGTGTTAGGTGTTACCAATCTTTTACATTTCACAAATCTTATCAATAAAAAAAAAAAATCCCAATCTACTATTGTGTTAGTTTGCATTTCCTTGATTACCACTGGTATAGAATCTTTTTCATGTTGGTGTCTTTTTCTCATATTATAGGTAGAAACTCTTTGCTGTTAATATGTTTTCCCAAATTATCATGTCTTTACTGTTTATTTTATGTGGTCAAATATACCTAACTTTTCTACTGTGATCTATTTAGTCTTTTCTTAGTTCAGTGGTCCTAGAAACAGAAAAAAGTTACTTTAATTGCTGACCTACGTATCACTCTTTCTCTCACACACACACAGTCTTCAAAAAACAGTGGTTGCCAACAAACAACAGTTCAGAGTTCTATACCAATCAACTTTCTATTATCATTATTGTAGACACTAAGAAAACAGAAGCCCTGCGAAATAAAAAAGAAAGCTTGTCCTAATTATATACTTTGTGTTTCTCCATAATCTCCTAATTTCCACAGTTTCCATAACTTCACCAGAGATGCTACTCTAGAGTATGTTCACAAATAAGAAAACTCCCCTCAAAAGAGAATACTTAATTCTTTATTATGGATTTCACTAATCATCCATCTCTCAAACTTTCCCAAGTAACTCATGAAATAAACACATGCAACTGGTCAATTATTACCAGCCTCACCATACCTTTACCTGTCAATTTTGCCTGTTCTCCAGTCTCAGAGGATGACACCCTCTTCTCATATTCATAACCAACTTTTCAGTCTAAGGCTCCTTTTCCATAACCTTTAAACTATAAAAATCTGTTTTAAATTGCACTACAGTGATGATTGCACAATGGTATATAAATTTACTAAAACTTGTAGAACTTTTAAAAGGGTGACTTCCTGTATATAAATTATACTCAATAGATCCACTAAAAATAATTAACATAAGAGAAAGATTAGAAAAAAGGAAAAATCACCCAAAATACTAATTCCTCAATTCAATACCACTGGTATTATAATCCTTTCTACAGCTGTGTTTTTTAAGTAACTTTTTAAAGAAATTATAAAATTATATAAACCCTATGTAAAAAAGCTGGGAAAAGCAGAAACATAAATAATAACACCCTAAAATTCCATCCCTAGAGATAACTAGTATTGTTGTTTTGGCATATGTCATTGCAGCTATTTTTTCTGACTAACACAATGTACTTCTTTCCTGTTATTATATCATGCTGTCAATCTCCTTACAGTCAAATTTTTCTTAGAAATTGTGATGGACAGACACTAGTATGTCTGTCCCCATAATCCTAGTCTCAAGGGATTCATACTTTAATCCCCTCTTCTTGGGTGTGGGCAGGATCTATGACTTGCTTCTAGAATATGACAAGATGAGGAGACATCACTTTCATGATAATGTTGTATAAGAATACAACCACTCTTATTAGGAGGCTTTCCCTTACTGGCTTTACAGTAGCAGGCAGTCATTTTGGGATACCCCAGGTGACAAGGAGCCAAGAGTGGTCTCTAGCCAACAACCAGTTAAACCTTCAGGACCTAAGTCTGCCAGCCCACATAAAACTGAATGCTACCAACAGCCATGTGAGACTGAAAGCAGAATGATCCCAAACGGATCCTCAGATGAGACTGCAGCCGCAGCTGACAAATAACTGTAGCCCTGTCTGTAATCACACAAAGCAGAAGACCCAGCTAAGCCATGCTCGGACATACAGAAACTGGGAGATAATAAATGCCTTTGTTTTAAGTTGTCAAGTGAATGTAAGTGAAACAAGTCAGACAGAGAAATGCAAACACCCTACAATTTCACTTATACGTGGAACCTAAAAGACAAATGAACAAACAAACAAAATTGAAATAGATTCATAAACACAGAGAACAGACTGGTGATTATTATAGGGAAGTGCGGGGAGAAGAGCCCGGTGAAATAGGTGAAGGGGAAAATTAGTGAAAATGTTCAGTATCTTGATCTGGGTGATGGTAACATGATTGTTTACACATGTCAAAATTCATCAAGCTATACACTAAGATCTGTGCATTTACTGTATCTACCTCAATATAATTTTTAAAAATTTTTAAATGAAAAGAGCAAGAAAACAAAAAAACTTGTCCACATTGGCTATTTCAATGTCACTACCCATTCATTGCTTAACATCGTTTATTAAACTGCACACTAATATTGTTCTAAATACTCTTACAAAGGTTACCTATGATCTCCTAATTGCTGGAAAAGTATCTATTCCTATTTTATTGGACTGCTGACACATTTGACCACTGCTTCTTGAAATTGTCTTTCTCTTTGCTCCTCTCTTCTGTTCTTCCTCTCTCTCCAGATCATTTCTTCTCAGCATTGTTTAATGGGCCTATCTTCCTGAGTCTATCCATAAATTTTAGTCTTCTATAAAATTTCATCCTTAGCCTTCCTCTCTTCATTTTCTATATGTTTTTTTTTTTTTGGTATTACTAATCTCCAACTACATAAGCAACATTATGGTTACTAGACTCCCCCCATTATCAAGTCACCACCACATACCCCATTACAATTGTTGACCATCAGCATAGTAAGATGCTATAGAATCACTACTTGTCTTCTCTGTGTTGTACAGCCTTCCCCATGCCCGCTCCCCACGTTATGTGTGCTCGTAATGCCCCTTTTTCCCCCATAACCCTCCCTTCTTACCCATCCTCCCCAGTCCCTTTCCCAGTTCATTTTTGGGTTCTGTGAGTCTGCTGCTATTTTGTTCCTTCAGTTTTTTCTTTGTTCTTATACTCCACAGATGAGTGAAATTTTTCATACTTGTCTTTCTCTGCCTGGCTTATCTCACTGAGCATAATACCCTCTACTTCCATTCATGTTGTTGCAAATGGGAGGATTTGTTTTCTTCTTATGGCTGAATAATATTCCATTAGGTATATGGACCACATCTTTATCCATTCATCTACTGATGGACACTTAGATTGTTTCCATTTCTTGGTTATTGTAAATGGGGCCGCGATAAACATAGTGTTGCATATATCTTTTTCAAACTGCGCTCCTGCATTCTTAGGGTAAATTCCTAGAAGTGGAATTCCTGGGTCAAATGGTCTATTTTGAGTTTTTTGAGGAACCTC